AAGACTCAGAAAGAGATTTAGACTCAACGAGACAGAAAATTAATAAGGATATTCAGGACTTGAACTCAGATCAGGAACAAGTAAACTCAATAAATATTTATAGAGCTCTCCATTTTAAATACACAAAATATACATTCTCCACCTTAAATACACAAAATATTGATCGGCCATTATTAATACCCATTTTTAGAATAAAGCTACATTCCAGTTTTCTCTCCCTCTTTTTCTTCCTCTTTCTTCCTCTCCTTCACTCCTTTTTTTCTTTCTTTCAAAAAAAAAAAGAAAAGTTATATTAAAAATGCAGTTCGTTAGTTGTGAAAAAAAAAAAAAAAGTACTGGTTACTACATTCCAAGTCCTATGGAACCTATTTCACATCACCAAAAGTAGTAAAACTGTACATAACCTTTAGATATAATTGTTACAGAAAAATTATTTAGGATGCATGAATTTGTTTTAATTAAAATAAGAAATTTGAAAGGTATAAAGTATTTTTTAAAATCGAAGGTAGTTCTACTGTTATACTTATTGCCTTTGTTAAAAGCAGTGCTTTGTTTAGAAGAGCCTCTTCCTTTCCCCTGCCCCTCCCAAAAAAACTCCATCTCTTATCTAATGATACCATTATCTCTTTCAAATATTTATAGTTAGTAAAACAACTCATTGCACAGCAGAGGAGGAACTAAATATCTGTGGAATAAACAATCCATTTATTATATAGCAGGTAAAATAACCTTACAATTTTTAAATTATTTTTACATATATAGACCTAATTAAAAAACATATCCATGTTTATTTCTGTGAGAAAGAATTAAGATGATATCCTATAAAATAAATAAGTTGAGTCATCCTGATGTTTAGAGCCATCCTGATAAGAAATGTGGTCAGTCACCTTCTTAGCATCCTTAAAGATTTCCAGAAAGGCTAGCTGAAAATACATTCCTTACCTCCAACAAATGACTGTTAGAGGTTACTTCTGATCCACCTAAGCAAATGTAACAGAAAATGGATAGTCTGTCTACTTGGGGCTTCTAAACGTTGTTTAGCCCTGAGGAAGGTTGACTTTGGAAACTGGCTTGACTTCTTAATTACTGACCTTTTGTTATATATGAAATTCCTTCCTTATTTTCTTGTTCCTAGCTCAGACCAGATGGTGCCAGGGATGAAAGTCCCCTTGACCATGATAAAAAAACCCTTTGACCATTACATCCTTAATGTGAAATGTTAAATATATCCCCCAAAAAGGAAACACTGCCTATAACTAATTTAATTGCTCTAACTATGTACTAACCTCACATGAAAAAATGATGTAACCCAGACCTAAGCATCCCCAGACCTTGCCTATGTAAAGGAACCTCCAACCTCTCTATTTTGTTGCATTTACCCCACCCTTTAGGAGTCTGTGTCCTCCTATGTGACCATCCTCAAACTTTATGCTCAAATAAACTCAACGTTTAATCATATTGCCTAAATGTCATTATTAACATTGACATGGAGCTGATTATCACTCCTTTGTTCTTCCTCTATACCCAGTAAATATAATTGTAACTGCAGTAACTATACCCTGTCACCATTATTTATTTATGTGTGTCCATCTTGAACTTGACCATGAAAAAAACACTACCTTATACACCTTTGCTTCTCTACCAATGGAAATATTATAACCAATATCATCTTACCACAGATTCCTCTATCAAGGCTTCCTCAGAGTCATTAAAGCTCAAAGAGTACAAATTATGATGAAAGAGGTGGCGGTCTAAATCCAACCCTCAGAATGTTGGGCACAGCCCATGAGCTAACACTGTGTCTACATTTATAAACGGTTGAAAAAAGAAAGAATAATATTTTGTGATGTGCAAAAATTATATGAAATTCAAATTTCAGTGTCTATAAATACAATATTATTGGAATACAGCCATGCTCATTCATTTATGTATTATCTATGACTGCTTTTGTGCTATAACAGTAAAGTTATTGAGACCATACCATGTGCAAAACCTAAAATATTTACTATCTGGCACTTTACAAAAAAAGTTTGCCAACTCCTGTTACAGGTTTAAAAATGAAGAAGAGAGAAAGTGAGAAAACTGGCATATTCACTTAACATTTACTGAAGGATTTACACATCCAACATTATGAGGCAAAAAAAAGTTAGACACTATCACTAACTTTGCAGAGAGATAAAATTTAATATAATGTGATAAGGGTGAAAGAGCTTGGAAAGGAGTAGAATGGAATTTCCAAGAAGAAAAGAAAGCTAAACTCCCAAACAAAAGGGCCTGACTTTTGTAAAGAACAGGGAAACCTGCCATATGGCAGAGGCATAAGGCAAAGTGAACTGAAGAATGGGGTGCTGATGTATGTTCTAGATAACATGGTAAAGGCAGGCATTGGGAATGCATTATGAAGTTTCTGGTATGCAAAATTAGACACCCTAATTTGTGCACTCATATCTTTCCTTCATTGTACTTTGCACACCTACTAGTAGTTGTTTAATTTCATAGTAATCACATATTCTACTAGTCCATCATTCTCCCAATCCACAAATCTCCAAAGTTTCCATCTGTAGGATCACGCTCAGATTATGACCTTGAATCCTACTTTACTGAGAAAACTAAAGCAATTAAAATAAATTTCCAAAATCCACCATAAAGTAATGTTATACATTTCAACAATGTGCCATTTCAGCCTAAGCAGAAGACTGATTTCACTACAACTTTGAACCATAAAAACTTAAATACAATTTAGTATTAGCTATACTTTTCAACAAAGATTTTTTTGGAATGAGAGACTAGGAACATCTCAGGCACATGCAATAAAGTCCTGCTTAGCTACATTATTTGTTTCTCAATCAATAAAATAAAAGCACTATAAAATATGCCTTTTAACTTAAAAATAGATAAATTATAAATGCTCTCATCTTCTCTACTGCTTTAAATTTTACTGAAAGTGATGCAATAAAAAAAAAATGCAGTCAGGTGCAGTGGCTCACATCTGCGATCCCAGCAGGAGGGTGGCTTGAGCTCAAGAGTTTGAGATCAACCTGGGCAACATAGTGAGACACTGTCTCTACCAACAACAACAGCAGCAAATTAGCCTGGTGTAGGGGCATGCAACTACTGGTCCCAGCTACTTGGAAGGCTGAGGTGAGAGGATCACCTGAGCCTGGGAGGTTGAGACTGCAGTGAGCCAAGATCCTGCTATTGTACATCAGCCTGGGTGACAGAATGAGACCCTGTCTCAAAAAAAAAAAAGGAAAAAGAAAAAAGAAAGAAAGAAAGAGAAAAATCCTAGTTGTCAATATAATTTAACCTGAATTTTATGACAGTGTTGTTTCCTGCTGAAGGAGAAAATAACAATGCAATGGTACACAGATGACAAGTCATCCAATAAATTTTCTTATACATAATAGGTTCCTAAAGCTTGTCCTTAGAACTATTTTTAATCCAATTAATTCACATACTAGAAAAGACCGACTTAGTACAATATCATAAAATTCTTTTAAACAATCAGCTTCTCAACGAAACTCAAGGACAGAGATTACAAACTGTATTCAGATTAGTACTTTTGTCATACAGTATAGTATCTGGAATGTAAAAGGCATGCAAGAAACTAGCCTGGACAATATAGCAAGACCTCGTCTCTGAAAAAGAAATAAAAAATTAGCTGGGTGCAGTGGCACATGCCTGCAGCCCCAGCTACTCAGGAGGATTCCTTGAGGCGAGACATTAAAGGCTGCAGTGAGCTTTGATCGCACCACCACAGGCCATCCCAAGACCCTGTCTCTTCAAAATTAAAAGGCATGCAATAAACATGTAATGTACTAATAAATTTGCTTATAGTGAATGTAAGATTTCCCTATACTAAATCTGTTTGAAAGGAAATACACTGAAACAGCATATGTTCAAAGATTAACACCTCTGTAGTTTGATTTTAACACAAATACACCCAAAGCCCTATCTACCCTAATAATGTTCCCTCCTATGGAGTCTTCCCTAAAGCACATACATTATTGCTCTTTGGACAAACACAAAATATAGTGGATAAAGCACCAGAATTAGCGTCTGGCATCACTGGTTTGGAATCCCAACCCCTTTTACTAATTGAGACATTAATAAGTTACTTAACCTCTTTGAGGCCCAGTCTCCACATCTGCCCTACTGGAATAACCCCTCCAACCCTACAGGGTTGCTGTCAGAATTGAAAGAGCTAACACCGAGCCTGGCTCAAAGCTGTAGTCTAGCAAATACTTTTCCCCTCTTAGATTCCTTCAGAATGCCCTCGTAGAAAGTAAACGTGGTTATTATCTTCATTATCTTTGGATATATTTCCAAAACGTAAATCGAAGCCTAAGGAGCTCAGGAGAAACCCTCCTTCAGCTATTAACGTCTAGAGCCTGCCCAGCTTTCCGATCCACTTAAATATTTCCGTGCCTGCAGCTCCTATTTGGGTTTTAGGATCAGGGAATTTCCCTCCCAAACTGTGTCGTGAGATCTGCACATTTTCTTCTCACCCCCTTTTAACACACAAGATAAAGATCCGCGCGGACCCCTCAGGGAAGAGCAAGGGCTCATTATCCAGCTGTTCAGACGGAAGGAAATTGACATCAATATTTTTCTTCTCTCCCTAACGCTGCTGAGGGTGGAACGACAGCGTCCAGCCAAAGGCAGTGTCGCGATGTCCCACGGCCCGACCCGGTCCCAGGGGAGCCTCGCAGCGCCCCGGCCCCAGGACCCCGACCCCCTCAAGCCCCAATCCTGAGCGGCACTCACACCGCATCCCCGAGGCTGGCAACCCGCGCTTGCCGGCAGCTGAGGGAGGTCTGTTTCCCTCAGCTCGCCGCCTCGGCCCGCTGCCTAGCCCGCTTCACCCCACACCTCAGACGCCGGACTCCCTTCCCTCCCAGCCGCCCCTAGCTCGCCAGCCGCTCCTCGACCACTCACTTCCTCAGGGACGGCCGCCCCTGGGTGGCCTCAAGCGCCGCCGCCCGCGACGCCTTCCTCACCTCAGGGCCGGAACCGCAGCGCCGTCAGGCCCGGACGCGCTCAGTCTGTGGACTCAGTGCGGGTGACGGAGCTGGGATCTGTGTGAGGACGCGGCCGCGCGCACCCGCGCGCCCCTGGTTGAAGCAGAGCCGACAGCACGCCGGCCACCTAGGGAAGCTCGCGGAACCGAAGTCGCGTCTCGCCTCCTGTCAAGCGCCCCTGAGGGCCGGGCTCCTGGAAAACGCGGCTCCGCGCACGGGCGCGTTCCCGACGCACGCAGGCAAGCAGCGCGCCGGGAAGAGGAGCGCGCCTCAGGGCGGGGCGAGGGGTGGCGCGCGGCTGCCCGGGGTCCCTGAGCCGCTAGAGCCCGGCCTCGAGGCGCTTCCCCAGGGCCTTCCGCGCCTGGGATTTGCGGGGATCTCGCCAGGCGCTTTCTTGAGGTACAGGCAAAATCCACGGGCGCGGGTCTCAGTAGTAAACCTGCCGCCGCCTAGCGGGTGACCTTGGCCCTCGGCCTTTCTTTTCATCTGCCTCGCGCAGTCACGTCCCCTGTTAAGCACCCTTGCCATCTGTCTCCTGGCATTTGGACGGGCCTCTCTGAACGCGTTGTGAGTCCTCCGCAGACCCTCTCCCTCCCGCCGCAGCGGCTGGGGTACTGTGGCCCCTTTTCCGTAACTCCTGCATCCCCTCCCCAGCCCTCTTATTCTCCCTCACACTCCGACCTGGGACGTCCTCCCACTGAGGGTGCTTATAGTTCGCGGAGTGTCCTCATCTAAGTCTGGGAACGCGGCAGATCCTGAATTTTCCAAACGGCCTGAGACACATGACATCTCACCAGTGAGAGACTGGATACTGCACTTACTGTGCTGAAAATATAATCTGGTGTTTCGAGTTTCATTATTCAAAGTGACCTAAATGGGGCCAAAGGTATTAACACTAACATTACATATTTTCCTCTCCAGATTTCTGTATGGTCACATTCCTTTGCACACAGACTTTTTTTTTTTAATTCTGTCACTCCTGTGTACATCACGTTTTGTTTTTGTTTTTTTACTTGTCTTTGTTTTTTCTGCTTCTCGAATTTAAACCAGATCTCCCTGACATACACTCTGCTTTCTAAATGCTTAGGGGGAAAAAGAATCAAGGCGTAATTAGGTTTTACTTATCTTATGGAATATGAATTAAATAGAAAATTCAAAGAGGTTCGTCAGAATCTTTGATGATTAAAACAGTGGTTCCCAACCTTTTTGTCACCAGGGAGGGACCAGTTTCATGGAAGACAATTTTTCCAGGGGAGGGAGGATGGTTTTGCAATGATTCAAGCACATAATATTTACTGTGCACTTTATTTCTATTATTAGTACATTGCAATATGTAATGAAATAATTATACAACTCACCATAATGTAGATTCAGTGGGAGCTCTGAGCTTGTTTTCTTGCAACTAGACAGTCCCATCTGGGGGTGATGGGAGACAGTGACAGATCATCAGGCATTAGATTTTCATAAGGAGTGCACAACCTAGATCCTTCACATGTACAGTTCACAATGGGGTTCTTGCACCTATGACAATCTAATGCCATTGCTGATCTGACAGGAGATGGAGCTCAGGCCATAATACCAGCCATGGGGAGCAGTTGTAAATACAGATAAAGTTTCACTCACTTGCCCTCTGCTCACCTCCTGCTGTGCGGCCTGCTTCCTGTCAGGCCATAGACCCCAGTAGCAGTCCATGGCCTGGGGATTGGGGACCTCTGGCTTAAAAGATCTAGCAGTGAGGGTGGGAGAAAGGGAGGTAAGAATATTCAAGAAACTGGCCGGGCATGGTGGCTCACGCCTGTAATCCCAGCACTTTGGGAGGCCGAGGCAGGTGGATCACAAGGTCACGAGATCGAGACCATCCTGATCAACAAGGTAAAACCCTGTCTCTACTAAAAATACAAAAAAATTAGCTGGGCATGGTGGTGCGTGCCTGTAGTCCCAGCTACTCGGGAGGCTGAGGCAGGAGAATTGCTTGAACCTACAAGGCGGAGGTTGTGGTGAGGCGAGATTGTGCCATTGCACTCCAGTCTGGGTAACAACAGCGAAACTCCATCTCAAAAAAAAAGAATATTCAAGAAACTACACCAAAAAACAAAGGAAAGCATGTAACGAAAACTGTTCATGATATATTCTCTTTTTGAAACATCTAGAACATTTTAGTTAACAAATTCTCAATGACCTAGGATTTGGGGCCAAGTAAAGAAATACAGGTCAGGCCGGGCATGGTGGCTCATGCCTGTAATCCAAGCACTTTGGAGATCAAGGCTGCCGGATCACCTGAGGTTGGGAGTTCAAGACCAACCTGACCAACATGGTGAAACCCCATCTTTAAATTAAAAAAAAAAAAAAAGAAATATAGGTCAAAGATAAACTTGATTAAAATGTTACTGAACCATACTTTTACCCCAATATTTCTCACTAGTAGCCTTAACCTGCCATAACTTCAGAAGCCTACTCATTTCTACTACTATTCTAGGCATTTGTTTCTTGCATTACTTATCTTTGTAATGTTCTCTGTCACCCAGGTTGGAGTGCAGTGGTATGATCACAGCTCACTGCAACCTCTGCCTCCCAGGCCCAAGTGATCCTTCCACCTCAGCCTCCTAAGTAGCTGGGACTACAGGTGCATGCCACCACGCAGACTAGTTTTTGCATCTTCTTGCAGAGACAGGGTTTTGCCATGTTGCCCAGGCTGGTCTCAAGCTCCTAAGCTCAAGTGATTCTCTGTCCTTGACCTCCAAAAGTGCTGGGATTACAGGTGTAAGCCATTTCACCAAGCCAAAAGCTTTTTCTTACACCAATTTAAATTTCCAAATCCTATGCATCATAGTATACAGTAAATATTATTAATGCTACCAATGAGAAAATACATGTAATAAGCAAGAATATGCAAATATTTTCATTTTCCCCACAAAATGTCACCACTCACTCAACAAAATCTACCAACTTATAAAAAGGGAAGAATAAAATTCCTCTTACAGGATGAATGACAAAATTATAATGATGATATTGTTTGGCTCTGTGTCACCACCCAAATATCATCTTGAATTGTAATAATCCCCATATGTCAAAGGTGGAACCAGTTGGAGACAGTTTAATCCTGGGGACAGTTTTCCCCATGCTCTTCTCATGAGAGTGAGTTCTCACAAGATCGAATGGTTTTATAAGGGGTTCCCCTCTTCACTAGGCACTCATTCTCTCTTCTGCCACCCTGTGAAGAGATGCTTTCCACCATGATTGTAAGTTTTCTGAGGCTTCCCTAGCCATGTGAAACTGTGAGTCAATTAAACTGTTTTCTTTATAAATCACCTAGTCATGGGTATGTCCTTTTGGCTGTGTGAGAACAGACTACTGCAAATGGTAATGAAGTTGTGAGAATAATTTAGTAAAGGGAATACTAAATAAGACCTATTAATAAAAGGATTGCTACAGATTGATGTGTGGACCATGACATATTTTACTGTCTGTTTGAACAGGCTATTTATCAGACTATTTGTGCCTTGTAAACAATTTAGCCATATAATCTCAATAGAAATTTCCATAGTTACCAGGTCCCAGAACTAAATAAGCAGTTCAGGGAAGATGTTCCTTTCTGAGTTTCTGTATCTAAAAAGGAGAAACAAGCCATACTGATGGGTTGTCATGGTGGCAACCCCAAACCCCACATCTCATTAAAAATTTCTTAGACAAATAAATCAGATGGGAATACATAAATCACAGGAGTTGTAGACTGAGATTTAACAAGTTGCCTAGCTGTACAAAATTAACAGTGAACCAGAATTTTGACAGTATTTAATGTAGAGTAAGAGAATAAGACTTGCTACACTAAATACGAACCTGCAATGTACCCTTCTCCTGCTGGTGAACAATGAATTCTATTTGTGTTACTTTTTAATTTGCTAGACATCAAAGCCTTATTTAATGTATTCCCTATGCTATTTTTGCCAAAATTAAGAGCAAAATTGTTAAATTGTTGCAGCACCTTTTAAAATATCAAGTTAGTTCCTTAATTTACGTGATTATAATACATTGAAAATTACATGACTTTTTTAAAATCTATGATTATTAAACACTAGTATTTGTTTTTAAACATTTAATGTTTCTGCAAGGCTAAAAAAAGGTTTCAAGAGAAATGATGTGGTTTATCTATTTAGAGTTTAGATATGATTTCAAAGCATTGCAAATTGGTGCATTGGTCTAGAATGAGTTAAAACACATAAAGAAATGCAGCCAGGGGCAAGGCTTAGGATAATAAAATTTAAAAAAAAAAAGAAATGCAGCCTTGGCTGACAAAGTAGACAGGGAATCAAGCAGCTTTACCAATAAATAGAATTCCAAACTAGCATATCAAATGTGGCTGAAATAGTTTTTAAATAGCTCAGTAAAATGATTAGTTGATAATTGTTAGAGGGTTATGGGAAGGGGTTGGAGAAGAGAATGACTTCTAAAGGTAGTTTTAGTTTGTTTGATTTTTATTATTACTACTAATATTATTATTACTATCACTTTTATTATTCAACAGAAAGAATTATAAAATTCTACAAATATTATAAAATTCAACAAAAAGAATTTTAAGTATTTTACTCTTTTTGTTTCTCCAAACAGAAAAAGTAGGCAAAGAAGACTGATATTTGAAGAATGTATAGCCAAATTTGTTATTTAAGATTTAACCAACCAACAAGTATATATTGTCTAGTATTCTTACTTGGTAAAAACTCTCAACTTTCTAGGTGAACCAAATGAAGAAAAGGTAAAGAAATCAACAATTGTGCTGAGAGTTTTTAAAAAAATAATTTAAAAGTATCAAACAAGGAAGATAATATTTCTTCCACTCTTAAAATATGTGGTGCAAATTATAAAATGCTATAGAGAAATCATTGAGAAATAGAGTTTTACCTGGTAACTTCAAGACAGAAAAGTGGGAAGATTGGTTTAATGAGAGTGAAGAATTAAAACAGAAGGCAGAGAGAAATAAACCTTCATAAATTTGTATAAAGGTAAAGTTTGTAATTTACCTAAGAGAATAATATAAACATTAAAGAGAAACTTGACTCAATTTTTTTTTTCTTTCCCTCTTCGGTAAAGAAAATGGACTTTACATAGGTAAAGGTGAAACACATAGAAAGAGAACTGAAACTTGAGATAGGTGAGGAGGTAGTAAGAAAACACCTATCTGTTTCAAAGAAGTTCATGTTTCCAGACACAAATTACATCCCACAGCTGTTTACAAGTAACCTAAGATCTATTGCTGCTGAGTTCTGAGAAACTGTAAAACATGAAAAAGGTGATAAATCACCTGCTTAAAAAATGGTAAAAAGGTATACATTGAAAACTGTAGAACAGAAGAGTAAAACTCCAGAGTCCATACTTAAGTGTGTTAGAATTTGGTGGTCAATTGGAACCAGATTGACAAATAATACAAGTTACACTATACTTCTTTATTTGATCTTTGAGAGAAGATGGAAGTTTATAGCCATTATATAAATTAATTTCAGCAAAGCAGTTAATCCAATCCTTCATATCTTTGTGGATGAGACTAAAATAGGGGCCTGATTTAATTGTAATTAGGTAAATTCAAAATTAGTTGGATAACTGTACCCTGATTTTTGTTCATGTATTTCATAAATTATACAGGTGAAGAAATTATTCTGGTCAAATCAACAGGTGAAACAAAAACTACATAGCATAGAAAATATGACTGAAGACAGAACCAGAAAACAAAATTATTTTAACAATTTGAACTCTGAGCTAAAACCTAAAAGATAAAATTTAACAGAAATATATGAAAATTTCTACATTCAAGTTGAAAAATAAAATAGCACAAGTACAAAGTGGGATAGGTTCTAGCTTAGCTATGCAAAAAACATCCAGAGGTTTTAGTGTCTGCAAAGATTAATATGAGGATGGCCTGAAGTTACACCTCAAACACTTCCATTTGAAAATGCTGTCTTTACCTCCCTCCTTTCTTTTCAACCCTTGCCACTATTGCCCTGAAATAGGCAGAATAATGAGCCCCACCCCCACTGTCCCAAGCCCTGGAACCTGTGAATATGTTAATTTATATGGAGAAATGGATTTAAGATTGGAGATAGAATTAAGGTTGCTAATTAGCTGATCTTAAAATAGGGAGATTATCCTTGATTCTCAGTGGATGCAATATAATCACAAAGGTCCTTAAAAAGTGAAAGAGAGAGGCAGAAGAGGAGACTAGAATTATGTGATGGGGGAGTGCAATCTGCCACTGCTGGCTGTGAAGACAGAGGAAGGTCTGTGGATGACCCCTAGAAGTTGGAAAAGGCCAGAAAGCAGATTATCCCATAGATCATACAGGAAGGAACAAAGAGCCCTGGGAACACCTTGACTTTATCCCAGAGAGATCCGTGTGTTGGACTTCTATTTGTTTGTTTGTCTGTTTGTTTTTGAGATAGGGTCTCATTCTGTCACCTAGGCTGAAGTGCTGACAAAAATCATAGCTCACTACAGCCCCAATCTTCTGGGTTCAAGCAATCCTCCTGTCTCAGCCTCCTGAGTAGCTGGCACTACAGGCGGATGCCACCCACCCAGCTAATTTTTTAGTTTTCTGTAGAAATGGGGGTTTACTGTATTGCCCAGACTAGTCTTGAACTCCTGGACTCAAGCCATTCTCCTGCATCAGCCTCCCAAAGTGCTGGGATTACAGACAGGAGCAACTGTGCCTCGCCTGTCTTGGACTTCTAACGTACAGAACTGTAACAATAAATTTATGTTGTTTTAAATCACTAAGGCTGTGACAATTTGTTAGGGAAGCAAGAGAAAAGCTAGTACACTTTTTATAATTTGTTTTCCTTCTCTACATTGCAGTTCTGTGTTTATTTAGCAACCAAATTTCCTTTCTTCTCTCCTGTCTTTTTTTTTTTTTTTTTTTTTGAGATAGTTTTGCTTTTGTTGCCCAAGCTGGAGTGCAATGTCACGATCTCGGCTTACTGAAACCTCCACCTCCCAGGTTCCAGCGATTCTCCTGCCTCAGGTTCCCAAGTAGCTGGGATTACAGGCATATGCCACCATGCCCAGGTAATTTTGTATTTTTAGTAGAGATGGGGTTTCTCCATGTTGGTAAGGCTGGTCTCGAACCCCTGACCTCAGGTGATCCGCCCACCTCAGCCTTCCAAAATGCTGGGATTACAGGTGTGAGCCATCGTACCTGGACTTCTCTCCTGTCTCTCTAAGCAAGCAACATAATGCCATAGAGAGGACAGTAAACTATTACTTAGATATTGTGGATTTAGAAACATAGTAACTGATGTGACTTCATTATCATATATTACTCATGGTTAGTTTCCATAATCACTGGTTTCCTATTTGTAAAACAGAAATCTAAAATAACTTCCTTCTTTGACTATGTGCTGCTTTAAGGAATTTATGAGATGAAGTATAAGAAATAATAAAATCCAACTGTTGAGCCTATAATATATGCTGCATAATCTTCTATATGCTTTATGTGTAGCTTTTTATTTGATCTCTATGATACATGAGCTATGAACTATTATTTTTTATTCACCGAGGTAAAGAGAAGTACTCTGAAAACTGTAAAGTACCAGAAATTACAAATAAATGTCCTATAGGGAATCAATGTACAATGAAGAAAAAAAAAAGTGTTTTCAACGAATAATTTTCTGGAAACTTTTTGTTTTCTTATTTAAAGTTTACTGATACTAGCTTTCAATATTTGTACCTTGAACATTTCCATCACAGTTATTCTCTTTCTTCATCAGTCTGTCCATTCATTCTGTAAATATTTATGAATTACCTATTATATGTCAGGTACTATCCTAAGGCTTTGGAAGAACAGTGGATGAAACAGATGTGGCACCGGCTGTTTAGGATTATCGATTGTAATGAGGCTATAAAACGGGAGGTGACAAAGAAGTGTGGTCAGTAGCATCATGGGTATAGTGGTCCGTAGAAGGATGTTACAGACCTAGGGTGTCGAGGAACATTGTTTAGAGGAAGTCATATCTAAAGATTTGATGGCTAAGTAGGAGTTACGCAAAATGGAAGCAGAGAAAATTCCAAAAGAATAGTACCTTCAGTATTTCTGCCTCTTTCTTGTTTACATTTATTTTCTTTTTCTCTCTCTATCTTTAAGCTCAAGTAAATCCTTCTTAAAGTTTTATTCCCAAAATATAATTTGATATTAAGTTCTTGTAAAATTTTCAAATATTTCATAAGCTTTTCATAATCCATTTATCTGATCTCACGGATAAATATTCTTAATCCAATAACCAAGCAATATTTTATTAAGGGTACTTTATTTCCCTATTCAGGTAGAACATGGCCCTCTGTTATTAGCTAATCGTAATATAAATAAAATTCAAAATAAACAAGCAAATGTTTTCTATATAATTTCATTCTTGTGTTTTCCTTCCTTTGCCACTAGATGGTACTTGTATGCCTGAGAGACCAAAATGCTGATTCAGTTTACCTTCCTGGAAACGTAAAACTAACCAATCAGAGGATCAGGTCATTGAGAAGAAGAAACTTCCCAACCTAAAATGTAAGTGATCCTGGTTCTTAAATTTATCCTTAAAAATTAACGCAACATTATCTTTTCTTTTTAGATAAATATGACAGTAAGAAATTTTAAATTAAATTAGCTTTAATTTTTTCCCATTTTGTACCAACCCCCAAACCCCATTTTTTTAAAAAAAAAACATTTCTTTATTTTTACTTTTTAATAGTACTGCTTTTCTAACATCCTAACCTGGAAAATTTGATTACTTGTTCCTTATTGGAGGGCCTCCATCCTCCTAGCTCCTTGTGTAAGCTAATGCTTTTCTTTCTGCTTGGAAAAGCCGCTACCTCCCTTCCGACCCCTTCCTCCTTGGTTTTATTTTCAGAAATCCTAGTCGTTCTTGAAGGCTCATTTTAACTAGTACCACTACCATGAAGTTTTTCTTGTTATTCTTACTTGAAAATATCTTCTTCTGATTCCTTTTTCATTCTTCTAACAATTTTAGTAATTTGTTTTTATAATATATGGAATGTATTATTTTTAAAGAGCTATATGCGTCTGCCTCCATAGCAATTAGACTTCCTGCATTGTGATTATTTATGAAAATGTCTTAATCTCTGTACTATACAATGTCTGCCTCTTGAGTGCAGAGGCTATCTTAGTAATCTATATATTCCGAAATATTTAGTACATTATTATTTATTTAATTGAGTTTAATGCTAATATCCATAAGACTATTGCAAAAAACTCTAAGAATAAAAAAATGATATGGTGATTCTTAATGATAGTCTCATGTGTAAGTTGGATCAAATTCATTAGCAAGACCTGTGGAATCAAATCATCTTTTTCCCATTTTCCCTTTTTTCCCATGACACGAGACTCCTGCCTTCCCCAAATATATAGAAATAATGGGCTATATATAGAAATATATAGAAATACAGTGGCTCATGCCTGTAATCCCAACACCTTATCGAGACCATCCTGGCCAAAATGGTGAAACCATGTCTCTAATAAAAATATAAAAAATTAGCTGGGCGTAGTGACACATGCCTGTAGTCCCAGCTACTCAGGAGGCTGAGGCAGGAAGATTGCTTGAACCAGGGAGCCAGAAGTTGCAGTAAACCGGTATCATGCCACTGCACTCCAGCCTGGTGACAGAGCGAGACTCCATCTCAAACAAAAAGAAAGAAAGAAAAAAAGAAATGATGCATAGAGTATAAGCACTTTAAAATATAAAGCTGAGTTTAAAACAGAGACAGCAAAGGCTTCAGATACCAGAATTGAAGAAGAAATTCAAAGTCACAGTAATAAGGGCCAGGAGCTGAGGTTTTAACCTCATTTCGGACTAGAAGATGCGGTCCCAAAACTACTTATGAGGATCTGGAACTAACATTCCTACATAAACTAGAAGCCTAAAGAGATTTTCACGTTTTGAAGCTCTAGAAGCTTATCTCTTAACTCAGTAGTCTAGGATGAGCAGAGGTGAGAGTAATATTGAAAGCCTGTGAATATTGAAAGGTTCCTGTGAATATTAAAAGCCTCTGCCAGTAAAAATCCAGTTTTACATTATTGTTTGAAAAGATAATCCTAAGCTTAAAAACAGAGAAACAGCCAGGCCCTATAAAAGCAAATATAAAAATCCTTGATGAGGACATCTACACAACTCAGGAAACAAAAGAATCCCACAGGATAAACAGCCTTCAGTAAAGGCACACTCTCAATAAAATTTGCACACCGCACGAAGAAGCAATCTACTACAGGCAGATGAGAAGACACAACAAATAGAAAAACCTGTGCCCAAACAACTCGAGTTAATAAAACAACTTGACAACTGGGTGCAGTGACTCACCCCTGTAATCCCAACACTTCATGGGGACCAAAGCAGGAGGATTACTTGAGGCCTAGAGTTGAGACCAGCCTGGGCAACATAGTGAGACACTGTCTCTACCAAAATGATTTTTTTAATTAAATAAACAAAAACCTGGAAGTGACTATCAAAGATTGATGCATAAAATGATTAGAAACATAAAGAAAAATAAAAATCAAATGAAAAAACAAGATAAGGTAAAAAATAAAAATATTAGAGAAAAGATAGAAATTTGTTGATGTATTAATAATTTTGATACTTATTGAACATCTGCAGAATTCTAGTACTGTTCTGGGTACTAAAGATTAAATAATGAATAAGATACATAAATTTTCTACTGTCATAGAGCTTATTTCTATTAAAAATAAAAAGCTCGGCCGGGCACAGTGGCTCAAGCCTGTAATCCCAGCACTTTGGGAGGCCGAGGTGGGCAGATCACGAGGTCAAGAGATCAAGACCATCCTGGCCAACATGGTGAAACCCTGTCTCTACTGAAAATACAAAAATTAGCTGGGCTTGGTGGCATGTGCCTGTTGTCCCAGCTACTCGGGAGGCTGAGGCATGAGAATTGCTTGAACCCGGGAGGCGGAGATTGCAGTGAGCCGAGATTGTGCCACTGCACTCCAGCCTGGCACCTGGTGACAGAGTGAGACTCTGTCTCAAAAAATATATAAATAAATAAATAATTAATAAAAAGCTCAACAGATGGGTTAAATAGATGGACTAGATACAGTGAGATAATTTTTAAACTGGAAAATAAATCTGAGGAAATTATACAGAGGATTTTTAAATGGAGAGTATAAAAGTAAAGTTATATCCTTAAGAATGTAATAATAAGACTTAACACGTATTTAATAGAAGTTCTTTTTGAGGTGGAGTTTCGCTCTTTCACCCAGGCTAGAATGCAGTGGTCTGATCTCAGCTCACTGCAACCTCCACCTTCCCTTTTCAAGTGATTCTCCTGCCTCAGCCTCCCGAGTAGCTAGGATTACAGCTACCCACCACCATGCCTGGCTAAAGAATTTTGTATTTTTAGTAGAGACAGGATTTTATCATGTTGGCCAGGCTGGTCTCGAACTCATGACCTTATGATCTGCCCACCTTAACCTCCCAAAGTGCTGGGATTATGGGCATGGGCCACCATGCCTGGCTGGTAAGAAACAGGCATTCTAAAAAGAAAGAAAATAAAGAAAATGGAGGGGAGGCATGATTCAAAGAGAAGACAGCAGAGAATGTATCAGATATAAAGATAGACATGAATCAGAATGCAGTAAGTCCTTAGCAGGATACATGTTTTAAAATAAAATAAATCAATATCAGAACATTCTAGTTAAAATTAAAGAGCACCAGAACAAGAAAAACAATTCCTAAGAGAAAAGCAAGAAAGAAAACATACCTGTAAACTGGGCATGGTACCTCACGCCTGTAATCCAATACTTTGGGAGGCTGAGGCCGGAGTATGACTTGAGCCCAGAAGTTTAAGACCAGCCTGAGCAACATAGTTTCTCCAAAATTAATAATTAAAAAATGAGTTGGGTTTGGTGGCCCATGTCTGTCACCCCAGTTACTTAGGAGGCTGAATGGGAGGATCACGTGAGCCCGGGAAGTCAAGGCTACAGTGAGCTGTGATCGTGTCACTGCACTCCAGCCTGAGTGATAGTGTAAGACCCTGTCTCAAACAATGACAACAACAACAACAACAACAGCCTACCTATGAGGAAACAGAAATAAAATTAGCAACAGCCTACCTATGAGGAAACAGAAATAAAATAGAAATTCCACTGGTAAAAAGAAAGGTTAAAATAAAAATTTTAAAGGGCTGTGGGAAATTCTATTCTCAACTAAACTGTGGAAGTAAGCATGAGAAAGTTGTCAGATAAAGACCAATAGAGTTTACCATTCACAGACTTAGGCTGAAGGAACTACTGATAGATGTACTTCAATAAGAAGGAAATCAAATCCAAAAGGAAGAAGCAAGATGTAGGAAGAAATATTGAACAAGGAAACTAAATAAAATTTTGGAGAAACTAAGTATTGAAATATAAATAATGGATTATAACCAAGAAAATTAAGATGCTATAACATAAGCCAGGCGCGGTGGCTCAAGCCTGTTATCCCAGCACTTTGGGAGGCTGAGGTGGGTGGATCACGAGGTCAAGAGATCGAGACCATCCTGGTCAACATGGTGAAACCTCGTCTTTACTAAAAATGCAAAAAATTAGCTGGGCATGGTGGTGCCTGCCTGTAATCCCAGCTACTCAGGAGGCTGGGGTGGGAGAATTGCTTGAACCCAGGAGGCGGAGGTTGCCGTGAGCCGAGATCGCACTATTGCACTCCAGCCTGAATAACAAGAGCAAAAACTCCGTCTCAAAAAAAAAAAAAAAGATGCTATAACATGAAAAAAGAGGAAGTCAGGTTTGAACATATTCTGTTTGTAAATTCCATTTTTTGAGAGGAGGCTATGGTTATTATTAATTTTGGAAATTATGAAATCAGGTATGCATGTTTAAAATTTCCAGAGTAATCACCTGTCATGTGTATTTGCTATACTATTTAAGAATATTCAATTCAGGGACTAGAACATGAAAAAAAGAAAGAATTGAGAGATACATAGATATGTTAGATATAAGTAAGTAGAGTATGTGTGTACTGAGTTCATAAAAAAGAAGGTATGGAAGGAATGAGTAAGCACCAAATATTCATGAAACACCCAAGGCACCTATATTCATGAAGACCCATTTTGGCTTCATGTGTCCTCTGCTTAAGAGAGATAAAATCTGTGGGTGATTCGCAAGGTATCAGTGGTGAGTTTCAACTATAGCCAGGCAGACCAGTCCCTGAGTCTTTCTTGCAGAGAAAATACGAGCTGGCTCTAGGCACCCTGTATCTGCTGAGTCTTCTTTGTTTATCTGCAACTCTGGTCTTTACAACTACAATGTTAACAAGAAGAATTAATACGGAATAATAGAAGAGAGGACATATAAACAATTTGTAGACTAGGCTTCAATCCCTCTATACCAATTGTACCCTTTCCTAAGTACATTATTAGCCTACTCTGCCCTTTTCCCCTGGCTTCTTGCTGTATGTTTAAATTGATTCAATAAACTGTGACCTCAGCATCTTACTTTGATCTGTGAGCCTGTCTAGGCCAACCCCTTGGTAAAGGATTCGGAGA